CCCCAAGTCCTTCTCCACAGGGCTGCTCTGAATCTCTTCTCTGCCCATTCTATAGCTGTGCCTTAGATTGTCCCAGCCCAGGTGTAGGACCCTGAACTTTGCTTTTTTCATGAGGCTGGCATTGGCCACCTCTCAAGCATGTCCAGGTCTCTCTGGATGGCATCCCTTCCCTCCATAGTAACAACTGAACATAATATTTGCATTACTTCCTTTTCCCTCAAACATCTTCCCTTTGTAATAGCTCCAGAACTAAGCAGCTGCTTCGTTGACACACATGGGTATTTCTATGGACACACACGGAGGCATGTGCTGATTCAGTCACATGCTAAAGGGCTCTCTCGATGGGTGAATGTCCACAGAATTTAAAGATAAAATTCTCTAAGACAGTACCTAACGTTCTTTATAAATTTTTCTAAAGATACGAGATGCATGAATGCTGTGAACTACAAATTAACATATTTCAGATTAGCAGCCGTTTCTATTCCATTTTCTTAGTTTGTGGAAAGAATTATACTTAACCCTATGAATCAGTTCAGCATTTTATGGAGCCAAGACTGCTGTCCCTGGGAAGGCAGCCACAGCCACCTTCCCCAAACAGAGCAAGGAGCAGAGCTGGCTCACAGGGCCAACCCAGAGAGCTATCCTGTGCGAGGGGGTGCTCTGAAGAAAGCAGCCTGGCCAAAGGAATGAGGTTGCAGAGCTGCCATTGTCTCCAAGGAAGGAAAACAAAAGTTTCCTGATAAACAGCCTTTGGAGTTTCTGCAGAACCAAAAAATGACAGACTGGTTACACAGGAAGAGAGATTGGAAAGATGGAAAAATGAGGGTAAAACGAAAAACATGCTAGGGTTGAGTCTGAAAGATGGGTAGAACCAGCATGCCAGGGTAAAAGAACAGGAGGATTTGAGACAGAAAGGTGTGTTATAGTCTCAAGCATTCACTTTCCAGGTGTGGTTCCCTTTGAGAAGACGGCATTTTTAAAATCAAGTGTTACCATAAACTATTAGCTCAGACTATACTTTCATATTAGGCATGAAATCAGACATTCAGATATTAAAAATATTATTATAATAAAATGCTTAATAATATCTCTGCTATACTTAAAGCAGTAAAGTAGACAAGTTTAGCTTGATTCATTCACAAAAATTTTTCTGCCGATATGCCCAGATGCACCCACAGGAATGCAAGGCTGGAAGTGGACTTCTCAAGCCTCCCAAGATCAGGTTCCCCATCAGGATAAATCCTGTCATAAACTGATAAACTCTGTCTAAAAATAGGTAAGATTTATGCCTCTGTTGCTGTGATGAAAGGCAACCTCAGATCCCCCCTCCTCAGTGGTTGGAAGGCATCCAGCTTCCAGATAACGAATGTCCCCAGCCAGTCCTTGCCTGCTTGTGTGAGAGAAAAGTGAAAATAACTCTAAGAGGGGAATAAGCTTTAGTTTTAAAACACAGAGAGATTGGGATTTGGCCTTTGTTATCGATGAAGTTACAGTTGCCTAATGGGGGTGATGTATGGGTAAATAATTAATCTTCAGTGAATCTGGTTGCTGGGAAGCCCATTAACAGCTCGCTTGGTTGATGAGAAACAGTGGTTCTGCAACAACATTTTGTTTGGCTGGTGAGGATTCATGTATTTGAAAGACAAAGAGCCTGTTTGTTGTTTATTTTCAGAAATTTCGGCTTCTGCTCCATATCAAAAAGACATTCTTTTTTCATTTTTCATGTAATATTGAAAATTTTGGTTTATGACATGACAAGGGCTTCAAAAATGTTAGTGTTTATTTCTACAAATAGATGATAATTAGCAAAAGTGGGGGTTTTTATGTTTACGTACCCCTTAATAAAATCTTGGTAACTCTAACACAAGGAATAATAATTTCTTTTCCTTCCTTGTTTTTCAAAGTTTAAATTACATATGAAACCCAAAGCTTCTTTTATTTTATTTAATCTAAGTCAACATTAAAATAATATTATTAAAATTATTAAAATTAGTTAAGGAAAATTAAAGTATGTAACAGCAGTTTTAAAAGTGTACTACCTATATTTTTACATGTTTACAAATTCCATACAATATACTTTACATCATTATCTGTAATATATTGTATCAAAAAATGAAAAAGAAAACATTTCCTATAAAATTAACTGTTTGTTTTCAACTTTTGGGCGAGTTCATACAGCAACACTAATACATTAATTGAAAACGTCAGCTTTTCCTAATATTTTGTAATTCCAAACTTGTGACATTAATGTTACAACTAATATAGCGATTGCTTCATTTGGGTTCCTGGTTTGGGATGAATTTCTGCCATGAAGAAGCATGGAGAAAGAGAGCATACAGACTTTTAAAAATCTATCCATGCCTTAGCTTCTCTGACACTGGAGATAGTCACATCATATCTGAAGTTTTCACAGAGCTCTGAGAAACAGAAATGGCTTTAAAGTTTACTTCCACACCCCCACTTGCATGATTTCCAGCGTGGCCTAGGTCTGGGATTTTGACTGAAGCTCATTTCTTAATATTTAGCTAATTTAAATGCTAATTAGACTAATTTGATGAATAAAATGTGGTAGGAATCCATTAACAACTTTGCTGCTATTGCTTTATGTCTACGGAGAAATTTTCTAAAACAGGACTCCAGGGACAGTAGCGCATCTGTTACCAGTTGATCAGGTTGGATTTTTTGTAATATTAAACCTTAGAGTTGGTAATATATTGCAGAACTGCAGAGGAGATGGAGGAGTGATGTTAAATTTTCCTGATCTAGCCCATCTTGGACGTAGGCCACCAATGAAGAAGGGGCCTTATGCTATCCTGAGCCCATCTGCTTCATGGGTTTTACTTAGAGTTTTATATACATAGGAAGAAAACACAACTTGTCTGTGTCTCTCATTACCTGCTACAGCTGTTCTGGCTGATTCTACAGTTGTTCTGCCTGATGTTATTGCTGCCTATAGAAAGAACTCAAACTGTTCACCTCATGTCTGATACTGTGGATAGACTTTGATGGTCTCTTGGGAAGACCAGATGATCTCTTTGGAAGAACAGTCTTGGTTGGGTTTGTTTTTTTTTTTTGGCTGGTTTGTTTTTTGGTTTGGTTTCCTTGGGGGACAGATTTTTTTTTTTCTGCAGCATGTGCCACTACTACAGTCAACAAGCAGATGCCAAATTTCCAAGATGTGGCTTTGAATCTATTCATAAGCACAAGTTGCTTTTGGGCTTAATTAGGTCACTGAATTTTAGTCTGAAAAAGACAGAAAAGAAGAAGCCCTACAGAGAAATTCCATGCAATTTATAAGGAAGGAAAAGAGGCTTCTCTAAAAACCAAGTGTCTTCCTGTAGATGTGGCAGGTGGCTGCTACAGCAGTCTATGTCACAGCTAACTTTTTTTAAATTATATCTGTGTTGAAGGTTAAGGCTACCTTCCTCTCTCAAGTTCCCCAGGGCTATTCATTAGGTAACACTGCTGAAGAAACCTGGCTTCCTTTCACATGTATAGACAACAGTACTCAAAGTGGAATACCTTTTCTACACATCACTATTGTTATTTAATGTTGCCTATCTGCTAGGAATGCACAGTGCACCCTTTTCTTAATAAATGAGGCTGTTGCAGGAATTACAATGCAGTCAGATGTAAAATGGTCCTATACAGAAGCATATCAATGGACACCATTATAATGCAAACAAACCCCCAAGCATTTTTCACAGGTAAAATAAATTTTCCTTACTAATCTGATTAGTGATTGGTAATTAGCTGTTCAGATGAAAATACCTTTTGTCTGTGACTGAGGTCTAAAACTTGTTCCACTCTAAATCAGCAATATTTATCTTGTGCTAGCTTCTCTGTTTCCTACCCCATTAACTTTCCCATGTCATCTTCAGTTGAGTTTAGAACTTAAGAAAACAGCACTGCAAATGGTGAACTTGGTGTAGCCCAATGAATCCACATGCACCTCACAGTGTTAAGCCTTTCCTAGTCTTTCAGTGTTTCTCAGTCACAATTTACTTGAAGGAGGGATGAAAATGTTTTGTATCTATCTAGGGTGTCACCTGGGACTCATGGCTGAAACTGATGACAAGGAAAGCACTGCTGATAAAGTTTTGATGTCGTAGGGATGTTTGTATAACATTTACTGGCAGAAAGCATAAACTCCCGCTGTCTTTTGCAAGTTTTTTATGATATGGAAACCCTTTGTTCATAGTGGTTTTGGCTTTGTTGTCCTGAATGTATTATAATCAACTGAAAAGGTCTTCTAGGGTGGCAAAAAGTAAAAAGAAAAGTTTTGCTAAAAAAAAAAAAAAACGAAACAAAAAAAGTCCCCATTCTGTTTTGGACTCATATATTCCTGTGTCAACTCCCACAGCTGAATTAATCATGTAGAGCATGTAGAGCAGAAGCCCTCATGAGGCCACCTAAAAAATGCAGATTTTGGGAAAATATGGCTTCCAATCACTCCCTGCTACAGATTTTCTGTGATACTCAAAGTGCAAAGTGGAATATGTAACTGAGCCAACTCAAAGGCCTCTAAGTATCTTCCTTCTTCTGAAGGTAAATATATTTTATGCATGACTTTTGAGTTTACATTTGTATTTAGAAACTTAATTCTGTTTTAAAATAAATAAATAAATCAGTGGCCCATAGAAATCTAAATATCATTGTGGTCCTGGGTGTTACTATTTATTTGCTTTAGTTTTCCACCTGTAAATATTACTCTACCACACAAAGGACCCCAAAGGATAAACATGTTACAGTTATTGAGTAATGTGCTCAAGTATAGCAGTGGTGGGGCCATACAAACATACCATAATTAACAGTGAGAAGTAAAGAAGGTAATCTGTATTGAGAATACCATTTATCAGTGAAAAAGCTCCACGTCATTTTACCACTATTCTAATTTAGTTCTGTGCTTTTTTTTTTTCTTTATTTAAACTTCTGTTCATGAATGCTAGAAGTGAATGCAATTAAATTTGCAAGTATCTCAAATGGAGGTCATTACTCACTTCTACATGTTGACAGGTCTGAATGAGTTTTGCCAAAAGAGTTTCCAGTTCGGTATTCCTCTTAATAAGGTTGGTGAGGTTACTCTCCAAATTTTGCTGTCAAAAAGAAAGGAAAAGAACACATTAGCATTTTGAAGAATTCAATGTTTAGGTAAACAGCTGAAAATGGATATATTTCCAGGATCTGAATTTTGTAATTATACAGGTATGAACATGAGACCTTTGTTTTGATATGCTTCATTAGATGTTTTGTCTATGCATCAAGTATGGCAAGACAAGAGAGAGGAAAATTTCAAGATAAGACCAAGTTCTAGAAAATAGATTTTCAAAGGACCTACTAAAAACTAGATTAGCAATTAGTTTTAGCCAGGGGCAGGGGAGGTGGGAGGGAGGGAAGAGGAGAGGGAGTAAGAAGAACAAGGAATCTAAAAACATTTCACCAGAAAAAGTGGCTTATTTTGGCTGAGAACACTTTTTGACTATTTCCTGCTCTCAGTCTAACATATGAATTTAAAAGCCTGCTGCTATCTGAGGTCTCTGAACATGTGCCCCTTGGGAATGTACTTGTAAGGACACAATAGACGGGTCAGCACTTTCTTCTTGGGATTCACAGTGCTGGGGAGATTGATCTAATTGATTTCATTCCCTAGTTCAGTAGAGTTATATTTTTTAATACAAAAATCTAAAGAAAAACCTCCTTTCTATGTGTAAGAATGAAATATCTACTTGCAGACTGTGCCTTCACAAACTTCTTATGAGAGAACTTGTGGCTTGTGTCTCTGTTTATCAACTGATTATGACTGCAATAAATAATCTGCAACTGTGGAAGATTAGAGTGCTTTCCAGCTTCCAGATCTGAGGCCACATCCTGACCACTATGCAATTGCGTGTGAGATTGAGATGCAGCAACAAATGTTTCAGCCTCCCTTCTACCCTCTGTATCCACAGGAAGGAAATCCAAGCACAGGAGGAGGTCTGTGATGGCTGTGACCTGTTTCCCGGTCTGGCTGCCCTGGGACCAGGACCCTGCAGTACATCATGGAACTTGCAGCTATCAGCTCCTTGCTTTTTACTACACATGCCTAGACAGCTGCTGTTTTACAGGAAATTCTTCTGGAAACGTATGGGCATGAAAAGTCTTTTTTTGTTTGGTGTGGGTTTTTTTTGGTTTTTGTTTTCATAAAATGCCATTAAAAAGGGTCCTGACTGTAAACACTTATTCCAGTAACTGCAGGGGCATACATTTCACTTTGAAAAACATGGGGACTGTGGGCATGACAAGCTGTTTCTCATAGTTACTCACCTATGTAAGTGTGTGAGACCAGTCCCTTGCTTAGTATTCCTGACAGGCTGACAGCCCCTGTGTTTTAATTGTACTTTGTCTTCCAAGCAGTACCCAGTATCTAGGAAGCACTCAACAAGAACACCAGAATTGGTCCCTGTGCTTCTCTCCCCACAAGGGCTGTAGTGTCTCTGGAGAGCTCTTATTCATTTCATCCCTCCTCATCTTTTATTAATGGGCTTCTTTTCTTCACACTACTACATTTCCCCTCAATGTGTCTATTCCATCGCTTAAGTCCCTTCAGCTACCATTAATGAACCTGACTTTCCCTCATCCTTCCCCCCTGCCCCTTACCACCTCCATGCATGCATTTTACGTGTGTGTGTGTGTGTGTGTTTGTGTTTTCTGGTGTTGACGCTCTCTATTTCATGCTGGTTTAAAACAGTTCCTTGCCCTCCCTTTTTTGCAGCTGTGCTGTCTTGTTACTCCTTCTTGTATATGGCTACAAACAAAAGAAGCTGGCAGTATTTCATTGCTGAACCATACCTACTTTGGCATTTACCAGGGCTGACGCTGTAAACACCAGAGGAACAGTCAGTCCTGTTCCATTAAAGATAACACAGGATTTTGATGGCTTTGTATATACAACCCAAGAAGTGTGATAGGTGTTTGAAGTACATATTTTTGGCATTTTCTTCCCAGCAGAACCACGCATATCATGTATCTCAACCTCTGGCTGTAAAAATACTTTCTACACTGCATTTATTTTATAGCCCATTAAAGCAAAGAGTAACAAGAACGGGCATTCTTTACCAAACAGTTTGAGCTGTATCTTGTATTTCTGCAAACCATACTGTGAACGGTCATTTAATCGCAAAAGCATGTTTGCTGTGATGTTAGATGTCCCTTTGTAGAGCCGAGACTCACATGCAAAGTCAAAATACCATATATAGTTACAGTATCAGATAACTTTTGCCTTTAAAAAACAGTTTGTAAGGGGATCCAAATGTGCAAATACTCTTGAAAAGATATATGCCTTCTTACTGGTCATATATTGATTTTGTACATGTTCTAATGTTTTATACTAAAAGATTTTAAATGAAAAATGTGTATTCTTGATTGAGATTGCCTAATTTAAAATGTATTATTGGACATAATAAGTGCTAACAGATAGAACCTATACATATTATGAAGAAAAAATAATCTTAAAGCTTTTAGGAAGTACTGCAGTGATTTTAAATATCCTGAAAGTGTCTCAGCTAAGGCCATTAATGCATAGAAAGTAAAGTATTTTTCTCTGAAACAGGAATTTATTTATCCATAATTATATACTATTACACCCATTACATTTTCAAATCCTGGATAAAGAACAAAATTTTAGAGTAAGTTTCATATTTCGTGATATGAAAAACCCATTTATGTTATTATGGTTTCATACAGGTCTCTTTATGTCCTCCACATTTCTCAACCATGAAAATGGAGGATAAATACTAAACAAGTGAGTTGCTTTACAAAAATGGTTGTTAGTGAGTTCCTGTGGTCTAGCTCCTCAAACTGTGTCATTTTCAAACTGGAAAGCTTGGAAGTTTGTTTCCATAGAATTTGCATGCCAGAGATTGTGGTCTTTTTAAGTTAAGAATTACCACAATTTTGTTAAGCTTTTGCTTGGGTTTTGTTATTAAACGTCAGTTTGTTTGTTAAATATCAGTCTATATTAATGCTTTGCAAGATAGCGAGAACCCGGTGGCTGCTTTCTGAAATTAATGTCAATCTTTCCAGTTTCACTACGCAAGTACTGAATAGCAGCTCTTCAAACTCACCAGACTTGAAAGTTTTAAAGGTCATCAAACTCAATCAATTCTTGCAGTATGTTTACCTGGTTTTTCTCTTGGCAGTATCTTCTTCTAATTCTTTGCCCTATTCTATTCCCATATGAGCATGGTACCTCTCTACCTACTACATGATAGTAAGTACCAGAAGCAGAGTTCAAGCCCTGCCCTCTTTCTCTGCTTTGTATAAGGGGAGCCAGAAAGGGCCTAAAAAATGCTTAAATTTCGGAAGCAGAAATTCACTCAAAGACTTTCTGAAGTGTCGCAAATACATTTCACATTCACACCTGAAACTTCCCAGGTTGCGTGAAACTTCAATGACAGATTTGAAGCTCTGGCCATATTGAAAAATTGATCCAGTGCTGTAGACTACAATTCCTGGGATAGTAAACTGCAGACAAGTTTTAAGTCTGGACAAAGTGTGCTTTCATATTACGATGAGTACATTATGATTTTCACTCAGTGAAAATGAGCGGCAGGATAAGCCTATTCAAAGTATCTTCCTTCCTCCCACCTAATCTTCTACTGCTGTTCTCTTAGGTGAACCAAATTACAACTGTTTCTGTTATTTTTTTTTAAACGCACTAGATGTATCATAATTTCTTAAACATTTGCGCCTGCCTTCCCTTATCTTTTTTGTCACTTGCCAATTTTTGTTGTTATCTATCTATTAAAGACTGATCTTGGAAACGCAAGGGTTGGTTTTTGAAAGGACAATAGTTGCTGTGCATTTGCTCTGTGAAGAGGCTTCACACATGTTAACTCAGTGAATTCAAACTGCTCTCAAAAAGCAAAAGCCAGGCTGAATGCTTCCCGACCCACCAGTGCAGACCTAGCCCAAGATCTTGACATTCCATGCGTGCTTTGCAACTGTTTTTACAACATCCAGCATAAAGTGAAAAGAATGCTTACTGTCCATTTAACATGGTCTGACAACTATACAACATAAATATTCCTATAATCTTGGGATAAATCCAAGTAGATGAAATCACAGACATGTAATTGAAAGGGACAGTTGAGGATGATGTTTCATTTTGAATCTGCGTGCCTAGAAAATGATACGATCCAGGGACTGGAGTCTGAAGCTGGAAAAATTAATGCTAAAAATTAGAGGAAAGCAACTCAGGACTGGATGCCCTTTTTAAGCTGCTTTCTACCTCACACTGGAGTCACGATCTTGTTGCAGTAACGATCGCGTGAGGCTTGTGCCCTGATTGAAGTGGGAGGTCAGACTAGATGATCATAATGGTCTCTTCTGGCCTTTAAATCTATCAGTCTATGAAAACCAAATGTGAACCCATGCCCTTTGCCAAATCAACAGTCTCACGCAAAGCATTGCTTGTCTAAAATGGGAAGGTAGCACAAAAGATAGTCCTAAACTACTATATGGGTTGAAAATGCTGTCAAAATAAATTAATGTAAGCTTCTTGTCGTGGTTTAAAGGAGAAAAATGCTGAGTTGTGTGCTCATGCCTTACGTCACAGAAAACAGCAACATTCCCAAGATCATCTTCTCAGAGATGTTTTTCTGCTCCATGAAAAAATGTCTGTTCAAAGGGCCAGAAAATAAAGCATATAGCTATCAGCTACAGTGAGATTTTAGATTTCATCTGAAGTAAAGACACTGTCTTTTTCTCATTAAAAATACTATTTTTCTTGCCATTAGTAAATATAAGTATGCATTTGTATTTTCTACTCACTGCTTACTGAAATGCTTTGAGAATCGGTCCATTGAAACTGCAGTACTGGGACAGTACTTTGTGACAACAGCCTTGATCACCATTTACATCAAATCCAGCTTGATCAAAGCTTTTTGGCAGCAAATATTGACAGCAATTTGCATTTCCTTTGCTCCTGGTGTAAAACTGACCAGAGTAAGGTTTATTTTGGGGCTACTTCCTGGTTTAAAGAAGAAAACAACTTTGGAGAGACTTCTGGGATTATCAGAGTCCCACATAGTGGAAATCAGGTTTAGTAATCACATAG